AAATTTAAATTGATTAAGATTAAAGGAAAGTTTAGTTCCTCAGTCACACTAGCTACATGTGTTCAACTCACTTTCAAAGTTCAACTCTTCTTGGCAACCTTCTCCACTCCTTGAAATGTATAAAACGAGGATGTGATCCTGCATTCTAGCCTGGCCCTGGTCTCATTGGGCTGCCCCTGTTTATGGGGGCCCCTCCTCCACTCTCCTGAGCCCCTCAAGGACAGTGAGTGGCTGAATCCATGTCATCCCCGTGTCCTGACACTTTAGGGCCTGACACATAATGGACATTCACTTATTCCTCTTTCTTTCCCTTGAGGGTTAAGGTTGAGCAGGAAGAAACTGTAAGATGCTCCTTTCATAATAATATGAAGGCATAATGGGAAGCTCAATCACGTGCTCCCTCTTCTCAGGTGCTGACTCCAGCGGCTCTCTGAGAATAGCCTTCCTCCCCTGCTCACCCTCCCTTCCAAGATCCGACTCAGTTCCTATCCTTTAGAACCACAGGGAAAACGTCTGGCAAGAGCCACTGTTGTACCAGCTGATTTAAATTGAAATGTTTTCCCCAGATAAATGTGTGCTAAATAATACACCAGCTCTCCAGCCAGAGGGAAGTGACAGGCGCTCTGTAAATAAAGGCACTTAGTTGCTGGTAAAGAGCCGTAAAGTGGTTCTGAGCTGATGTTTGCTGACCAGCAAGAAGCGGCTTCACCTGCTTTATGTAATTGTCACTGCAGTCTTGCCTGCTGTATATTAAAACTGCATCTCATAGACCCAACTGTCACATCGGATAGACCGTCCGCATGGGGTGCGCCACCTTCTCTGTAATTGTTTTCGACAACCAGCCATCACATCTCAGATCATTTTAGAAAGTGTCTGGTCCAGAATCCCCAGGCTGGGTCAGCTCTGACACCATGTGGGCTCAGATAGCGACACCACAAGGGATGTGAAAAGAGAAGAGGGGAAATGAAGTTTTGTTTGTCCAGGAGACCAAGTGGCATACAGTGCCAAGTGTCTGAACACAAATCCCGATGAGGACTCTCCCTTCACATTGTTAAGACACATTTTTCATGTTACCTTGTATCAGGATAGAAAAACTCTCCATAAGGAAAGTTGCATAGGGACGCATGACTAAGCTGTCCAAGGGCACACACACATCTGTCCTGAGTCCACATGTCTGTCCCTCTGCCTTCTAGAGAGGTGGTGATGTAGCTCTCAGGACCAAGCAAACAATGGGGTTTTACAAGGACTACAGAATAAATAGCAAGAACAATCGGGTGGCAGTGGCCAGAAATCTATGTAGTTAACACTTGGGGGGAGGGGTTACATTTGGTTCCCAAAGTGAAAGAGGAAAAGGAATCCATTTTGTGCTCTGTAACTCCAATCCACTGGGACCTTCCAATGCCCAGGGGAATGGCAGTCAACATATCTGAGTCCCATGAGTACTGCTCTTGAAGGGGGACATTGTCAGCTCATCCACCTGGCCCCTGAGGTTGGGATGGACCCGAGAAGTGGGTGAATTTATAGAGCCTGTTCCTCAGGGAGGAAGCCAATTTCCTTGTGAACACCCACTGCCAAATGACTGTCTTTGGGAAGGTCAGAGTGTCATCAGAGAAGACTATTAGAAACTAAGCAGCAAGAATGAGAAGAGCAGTCACAGCAAGAAAGGAGGTAAACACGGGCTCAGTGTGTCCACAGCTCCCAAGGTCTCTCACTGAGAGCAGATCCAACTGCTTGCTGGTGACTGGGGGACACGCCCTCCATTCTACTGCTGCTGGGAACCTGGGAAGATCTCAGAGCACATCCTCTGCCTTCCTGTGTGCATGTGCGCACACATATATTCATGTGTACATGTGTACGTATGTGCTTGTACAAAAGAAGTCCCCTTCTCTCTCTCTCTCTTTTTTTTTTCAGGAAAAATGAACTCCCCCTTTCCTCCTTATCTCCCATCAAAACCTACTTTTCTTGCTTATGTCTGTGCTAAAAACAGTAAATAAGGTTTTTGAGCTTTGGGTGGGTATCTGGGAAAGGGATGATATTTTACCCATTTGGCCATCTGAGAGGATCTAAGAGGCCAGGATAAGATTTGTGAGAGATGGAAAGAACACCTGTTTCAGATGCATATACAGTTGGACCTTGAACAATGTAGGGGTTAGGGGTGCTGACCTCCTATGCAGTTGAAAATCCACATATAACTTGTGACTTCCCCAAAACTTAACTATTAATAGCCTACCACTGACCAGAAGCCCTACCAACAACATCTACAGTTAATTAAAACATTACGCATGTTATATGTATTATATACCACTAGTGGCCCAGTGCACAGATTTGTGCACATTCTAAGGACATTAATTAGAAGGCGGCTGGTGGAATGGGACTGGGCGAAACGGGCCAGACATACCCTGGAGCCAACCTCCCGTGGTCCCTCCCTGGTGTTTGCAAAGTGAGTGGGGTTTCTCTGGCAGGTCGGGTCCCTTGGCTGGCCTGTGGGGATCGGGCCAAACCCAGCTTTCCAACATCCCCCCAGGGGTCCCGGAGTGCGAGAGGGCACTCTGCAAAGTTGCTGTCATACAGGGTGTGGAACGCAAACGTAAGTGTGCAGTAAACCAGATTCAGGGCTGACAGTGCCCCAGCAACAACATAACCCACAGCCAAAGGTGGAATCACATGGCCCCATGAGGAATTGGGTTCCCTTCTCTGTGGTTTTGGGGTGTGTACCCCGAGAACCACCACTGCCAAATCACTGGAAGCTTGGTAGCTCCTGCATTGCGTGTCTGCCCCTGGTGATCAGTGCACATCGCAGTGACCAGTTGGATGGTCGGACACTTAGCATATTAGCCTTTTATACATAGAGATATATTATTACAATAAAGTAAGCTAGAGAAAAGAAAATGTTATTAAGATAATCATAAGGAAGAGAAAATACATTTACAGCATTGTACGTATTTATTGGGGGGGGGGATCGTGTATACGTGGACTCTTGCAGCACAAACCTCTCTGTTCAAGGGCCAACTGTCTAACTAAGTTGTACATGAAGACTTTGATCCATGGACCTGGAAAATCCCAATGACTGGATTGGGAGGAAGTGGGCATGCTGGGGACAGGGGTGCTCTCCTGTCCCTCCTGCTCGGCCCCCTCCACCCACAGGGAACACTTCTGCCTCCACCTCCTTCCTGTCCCCGTGCTGGTCCTGCCAGGAGAGGAGGAGCATCTGGCCGGGTGGTCAGCATGTTGGGCCCGGATTCCTTAGCGTGAAGATTGATTGTGCCTGAAAGATGTGCACATGAGTCACCCGGGGCCCTTAGAATTCAGCTTCCCACCCAGGAGGTCTGGGATAGACATGAGATTCCGCATTTCTAACAAGGTTCCTGGCGGTGCCCCTGCTGGAGTCAGAGGACCCATATGGAAGTACAAGTACTTAAAGGCACCTCCTAGGCCAGCTTGCAGTGTGCTCACAGCCTTGTCACCTCCGCTCTCTGCCTCCCCAGCATGCAGCTGTGTGGTAAGAGCTGCCCTCCAAGCTTGGCATGTTGCCCTGCCCTGCGGGTACCGCTGAGTTAGTGGACACCAAGATTAAGATGGTGCAGGGGAGACAGAGGATGAGAGAGTGGAGAGGTCCAAACTAGGCTTCCGGCTGTCCCCATCAGGGTTAAGAAAAGAAGCCACTCTATTCTGAGTATGAAGAGGCTGACACCACCACTGGGAAGGCTGTGGCAGCAAGTTGAATGGGCCACCATTCACCATTTCATTTGCAACACCAAGTGGAAGACTCTCCGGAGCTTCACAGAAGATGCTGTGAGTTTCAGATGCCCAGAGAAGCCCGCTCCCGCGTCTCACTCCCCAGCACCAAAGCCGTGGTTCTTAGGCTGCCCTGAGATCGGCTCGGAACCTCACATCCGCTCAGGGTCTGGCAGCAGCTGCCTCCCTTGCTCTCCCCGTTCCAGGTCTCTCTCAGAGCCCCACTCTCCTGGCGACTCCAGCCCAGAACCACAGAAGGAAGAGGATTCGAGGAACTACTGTCCCTGGCCTCACAGCAAATGCCCACCAGATGTTAGAAGGAGGTGGTGGTGATGCGGAATTGGCACAAGTCTACAGTGTGTGGAGCCGAGCTTTATCACGTCAATGAGTTGGTGCCATGCCCCAGCAGCTCTGGTTCCCATGGGCTGTGCTCCCTCCACCTTGGCTCCTGGAATGATGGGAGTCAGGTCCTCCTCAGGCCCCCAGTGCCACCCATCCAGTGGACCACATGTGACAATAATCCTACAGCTCAGAGCAAGCCTCCTCAGTGGTGCTTTTGGGGGGAAAATGCCTCCCAGACTATCCTTCTGAGGCCCTAATTAGAAAGGCTGTTACGGGGTTTTTACTGTGCTGCCTGCCTGCGACTCCTCGGTGACATCTTTGCTTGTAGCTACCTGCCCAGGGTTCCAGAGAAAATGACAGGGAGATTGGGGCAGAGACGAGGTGGCATTTAGCTCCCTATACACAATGCCTGGGCTGAGGATCACCACCTCTTGCTAAATGACTTTCGGTGTCCACCCAGCCCCTCTCTCCAGGGCCACATCCCTGGGTTGGCATATGATAACATAAAGCTTAACACCCCCGAGCAGCGATAACAATAGCAAAGCGTCGCAGAGGTCAGTGGCAATGACAGATTCTGGGGAGAAACGCTGTGAATTGCTCAGCCAGCATCTTTTCAGTGCTCTGACATTTAGTTGGTGACCCTGGTCACAAAACCACCGTTTGGGAAGGCTGAGGGGTGGCGATGTAAAGGCTGGTTCATTCCCCAGGAAGGCAGAGCGCTCTGAGTGGGGGTCTTCCTGCCTGGGTCCTGGGATGGCCAGGAGAGGCAGCGCCTGCCCCTTTGAGCGCCACCACAGTGACCACGGGTTCCACTGCCTGGCAGGCCGACGCAAGCCTCTGTGAATTACTGAGTGAAGGATATCCCTCTTGCCAGCCCCTGTCCCCTGCAGGCACAGGAGAGGACTATTACAGGCTGTCCTTACCTTGGGAATTCGCCTGCAAGACCCCGATGCTGTCATCAAACTGCATAGATTTGATGTTGAGTGACGCCAAGATGCATTCCTTGTCCTGCAGCGAAGTATCATCAATATTATTCTGATTGGCTGACAGGATAACGCACATGTCACAGAGGTTGATGTTGACGGCCCTTAAATCAGCCCGACTTAATGGCGTACCCTTTGGCAGAGAGGAAAGAAAAAAAAAAAAAAGGAGAAGCAAAAGTGAGACCGAGGGACGAGCGGGAAAGAGAAAAAAAAAATAAAAACAAATTAAAGATCGCGCTGGAGCTTTGGGAAATTATTTAACAAGTATCTTCTTTATGCCTTGACATTAAGCTGGCCTAACTGCATTCAGGGGAATAGGAGCTGTGTGCTAATCTAAAGGGTAGCCGGTGCTGATGGCAGCATTTTAGGCTCGCTCTCAATACTCAATCAAGCTATTACTAACAAACGAGGGAGGAATAATGCCAGGCTTCTACATCTCCTTCCTGCTGGAAATTGTCTTGATTTAAGGAACTGTCCTGTGGCAACCTCAGGCTTTCAGAACGTAACGAGGGGGTGGGTTTCAAATGCCTGTTTATTTAATAGCAGGTCACTTCTGTCACAAGCAAAAGACAGCAGCTCCAAGGAGAATTTCGGATGCAGGCAAGGGGAATGGCCAATGAGCAGCGGTGAGGAGATGGGGCTGAGACAAGGCTGCCCTAGGAGGATGTGGGAGGGAGGGCAGCCATGTGTATCTTGCAAAGGGGAGAGGGAAAGGAGTGAAGTTTCAGGTCACAGAATTTTATTGCATATTTTTAGCGGGGGAAAAAAAAAAGGAAATCGCCTAATTGTCCAACAACATAGGAATGGCTAAACACGCCATGGGGCATACATAGCACGGGAGTCTACGCAGACAGGAAAGGACTGAAACCACTCTCCACGTGGGCATCGCCTCGGAAGAATCTCGCTCAAAGGAATACGTGGGAAAAGGAAAAAACAAGTTCTACACAATTTGAAAAGTATGACAATGACATCATTTATGTGAAAAGGAATCCCACAAAATGAAACTATATGTTTATGAATTTACGTATAAAGATATGTACATTCAAAGAGAAAGTTCAGGAAAAATTCACACTACACTAATAACCGTAATTACCTCTGGGGAGGAAAATAAGATTGGGCATGAAGGGAAAAGTTTGGTTTTGATTTTACATACTTCCAATTGCTTGATATTTTATAATAAGGACGTGTTTGTATATTCCTAGTGTAATTAAAAATAAATAAAGCAGAAAACAGAATTTTTTAAAATCCTGAAACAACAAAATAGTGGGGGAGGGGAGGACAGATCAGGGAGGCGATGAGAGAGACGCCAGGAAGGCAACCACAGGTGAGGGGCGTGAACCCACTTGCTCTGTGTCCTCAGGAGGAGGCACTGCAGGCCTCAGCAGGCCATCCATGGCTGAACGCCCAGGGACACCTCTCTGGAGTTCACACCCAGCCCCAGCCTCTGCTTTGCCTGCGTGGAGACCCGAGTAGCCTTCGCCTACTGACTGTGTAGGGACAGGGTTTGCCAGCTGCCTTGTATCTCTGGGTACCTTTCTCTAGTTCTCCTTCCTGGAAAAGGAAGAAGAACTAGAGAAGGCTGTGAGAAGGTTGAACTTGGCTGCAGAGATCAAGGCCATCAACCCTCTCATACGGCTTAGTGTCATTCATGATTCTCTTCTCAGCCCCCAGGACATTGCCACAAGGTGGAGCAAAGGAGGGAGAGGCGTTCAGGACTAAGGAGCTGAGGAGCTACTCATTCCAGACTCTGGAGCATCATCTTTTGAGAGAAGGGGAAGAAGGGTCCCCTCTCCTCCTGGGATCTCTTGGTACAAAAGAAGTTAGACCAACTTCCTGAGTCACTGTGCCAGTGCGTAAGCCTCAACTGCCTGCATCCGTATTCCTTTAATTATCATCCTGTGGGGAATCAGCGGTAAATTGTGACACAAGACAATCCCTGCACAGCTGTATACGTGGGATTTCAAAATTCAAGAAACACAAATGGCATACATAAAAACGCTTTGTGTTTCTCGGGGCTGGCCCTCCCTGTGAGGCACTGTTTAAACAATGAAATATGTGAAGACAGAGAAGGGCCATTTTGTACAAATACGTGGTGTTTGAGTATGCTAAATTGTGGAGTGTTTGAAAAGGACCTGCAAATATAAAAGCTCATTCATATAAATGCAGGCAGGTGGGTGGATGTGTACAAGGGCACGCAAAAGGAAACACACACCACACCACACACACACACACACACACACACACACACACACACCAAACATCACATATACACACAGAATCAGGTAACCCAGCAACATAATAAACTCACAAGGTACTTTCTGTGTGTAAGATCCCACAGAGGAAGATAATCATGGAAAAATAGAATCTAATCAACAATATCTGAAATTCGCAAGGTGTCTATCTATTTACACTCTTCAATATGCATGACTGGCTTTCTGCAGGTGACTATTTTTAATTCCATGTGTTTATTAAGTCAGTGAGTTTTGGGCCCAGCATCCAAAAGACATCTGTCTATATTTTTCTCCTGTCTTTAAATATTTATTGAATACCTATCGTGCCAGGCATATGTAAGGATAAATGGTGGCTGCTAATACATATTACTTGTGGGTAGTTTATTACGTACTTATTGAATTTTATTTCTTCACTGTTTTTTTTTTCTATTTTTGAGGTTCTGGAAGCTACTCATAGAAATAATGAATTTCAGCTCCATAAGTGGGAAAAAACCCAGCTCCCTAAAATGTAGCATCAAACTCATGTTCCTCAATTCCAGGGAGGTGAGCTTCCAAGAAAAATGTGTGGCGAACAAGTGATATTTGCATGGATGCGTGACAGTGAGAACTGTATCAAATGTTGAAATGTACAACAATTTTTTAACATTTATGGCAAATATATTTATTAATAATTAGGAAGTAGTTTCATGACTCGCAGATCATGTATACCCTGTCTTCACACTAAGTTGTAAAGTACCAAATTTTCATTTTAGATTTGTGTAGCAGTGTTTCATAATCAAGACTATCACAGGTTGCCCGGCCTGTGTGGCTCGGTGGTTTAAAGTGTGGTCCCTGTGCACCGGAAGTTCTCGAGTTCGATTCCAGTCCGGGCATGTACCTGGGTTGCAGGTTCCATGTCCAGCACCAGTCAGGGTGTGAGCAGGAGGCAATCAATTGATGTTTCTCTCTCACACTGATGTTTTTTTCTCTCTCTCTCCCTCCCTTCTTTCCACTCTGATGTAATCAATGGAAGAATATCTCTTCAGGTGAGGATAAAGTAAGTAAATAAACAAACATACAAAAAAGAATATCACAGTCACGCATGTGGGGGCACACACACAAACCCAGGGAAACACACTAGGCTGCTAAATGAGCAAGGGGGAGAGGCTGATCAGCAGAAGGGGTAGGACTTCATAGAGCAAAAATAAATAAAGAGCTCTGGTAAATATATTTAGTTACAAACAGAATGTGGTATCATCAAGATTCCACCACAAATAAAGTGATATAAATAGTTCCATACGTAAAGTCTGCTCTAAGCTTCATGCTATCGCACAGCACTGGGTTTGGGTAGGCATGAGAGAGTGTTTAGACACTGACATGGTTAATACATTTGATACCAGCTAAACTTCATGTCTGAGGAGCGACTGAACTGGGCTGCCAATTCCTTTTAATAAGGTCCCCGGGGTTTGGATATTCCTAGATGGAGCGTGGAGGGAGGGCTGAGTCCTCAGGCCCATAACCAGATAAAGAAGCAGAGGCGTGATCAAAGCTCCAACTATTATATCCATCTGGGAATTTTTGTGAATGAAAGGAATTAAAAAAAAAACCCACCATCAATAATGTGACCTTGGACTTACAGGCAAAATGGACACTTTGGGGAAGTTGTGAAGCGTCTCCCATTCCCGCTTGAGGTACTCGATGGAGCCCACGAACACGATGTGCTTGAGCTCATGGTAATGAAAGTTGCTGGCGCGGAGTGGCATCACCAGGTTCCGGAGGCCAATCAGGGCTGAGCTGACATCGCCGAAGATGCAGACCACCACGTGGCCACTCAGGACAGTCATGGCGGCTTCACTTCGAGTCTGCAGCAAGGAGAAGTGCATGAGCATCCGAGAGGAGACCTCCTCAGGTTGTGGTAAGAACTAAAAACATCGCCTGGTTGGCATGGCTTGGTGGTTGAGCATCGGCCTATGAACCACGAGGTCATGGTTCAATTCCCAGTCACGGCACATGCCCAAGTTGCGAGCTCGATCCCCAGTGTGGGGCGTGCAGAAGGCAGCCAATCAATGATTTTCTCTCATAGCCGATGTTTCTATCTCTCTCCCTCTCCTCTCTGAAATCAATAAAAATATATTTTAAAAATAACTAAAAAATCAGGAGTGTAAAGAATAAACACACATAGCAAGCACTTGTTGAGTGCTTACTATGTGATATTATATGCTATAATTTTTATTTCAACAATGTTATACACATACTATATATATATTTGTAATTTGAGTATGTGTGATCTATTACACTGGGTGTACTAAATATATTGAAACATATACCTACACATACCACTACATTTTTTTATAAAAGATTTAAAAAAGATATGCCATACCTTCCTATGAGCAGATCTTTCTTAATGGTTTTCAGGGGGAAAGTCAGAGGAAACAGCGATATTTATTTTATTTGGAAAGGGAAGACTTAGTTTCTATTAAATTGTTGATAAAATAAGCTGTGTTTTTGCCCTGGCCAGGTGGATCAATTGGTTGGAGGGAGGGTCTGTACACCAAAATGTTGCAGGTTCGATTTCTGGTCAGGGCATATACTTAGGCTGTGGATTTGATCTCTGGTCTGGCGTGTGTGGGAGGCAACCGATCAATGTTGTTTTTTTGTTTGTGTTTCTCTCTCTCTCTAAAAATCAATTTAAAAAATCATATCCTCTGGTGAGGATTAAAAAAAAAAGAGAGAGAGAGAGAGCTGTGTTTTCTGCCTCTCTTGCTGAAATGAAGATAAAATGATCAAATCCTATGTTGGTCTCAAGAAATGTGAGTTCTTAGTTCTAGACTCATCCGTGAGATGCTAAGTACATCATTGCATCAGTAGGTAGAACAAAATATCCCTAAGCCAGGGGTTAGCAAACTATGGCCCACAGGCCAAATCTGGCCTACCACCAACTTTTGTATGGCCATGGCTAGTGAGCTAAGATTGATTTCTATATTTTAAAATGGTTGAAAAAAATCAAACGGAGAATATTTCACAATATGTGAAAATTATATGAAATTCAAATTCCAATAAAATTTTATTACAACACAGCAGATTTTATTCATCTAGGTCTTGCCAATGATTGTTTTTACATTGTCACGGCAAAGCTGACTAGCTGTGACAGAGATCGTATGCCCAACAAAACCTAAATTATTTATTAAATGATCCTTTACAACTGACCCCTGTCCACTGCAGCCTGGGGTCTCCAGCAGCATGCCTGGCGTGGCTCACCTATGTAGTTACCAGAGGAAGATTCCCCAAAATCATTAAAAAGATCTAGAGCAAGATTGACAAGAGAAACAATGGCCTGTGTCTTCCCCAACCCCTGTCCTGAATCTACAAAGGAGACAAAGGAAAGAATCAAATGACCCCCATCAGAAGAGGACACAGCTTCCCGGGAAACGCCAATGTTAGCCACTGCTGGTGCTTTCGCTCACTGCTGGTAAAGACACCAACACAAGAAGGCCAGCTGCGGGCCTTTGTCTGCCTCTCCTTCTGGCCCAATACCTCCCACCTTGCCTGCCTTCCTGTCCACCCACTGAATGCCTGGGTAGCCCCACGTGGCTTATAATGCTTCGAGGGAGGCATATTAATGTCCACTGCACATATCAAACTCTGCTCCACTTAATCCCTAGAACTGACCCGTGTATTGATTGTTTAAATGCCAATATTGCAATTCACGACAACGTCAGGGTTATTATAGTAACCCCCAAGGAGGGGAAAGCTAGCTTTCACTCCCTGATCGTTAGACTAAAATAGGGGCTGTTGCCATTACTGGTTTCCCTCTGTAATAGCACAGGAGCACCTAAGACACCGGCTGTAAGAAATGTTTCATAAACGTGGCCAAGGGGGACCCGCTGGGAGTCACAGCCCATATCACCACCTCATGGAGGAGACCTGGAGTTGATTACCTTGGCTGCAAGAAAGTGTGTGTGCCTGGGTACCACCAGCAGAGGGTCAACTAGACTGTAAGGTGCTGTGATGGGGCTCCTAATTATTTTGAATTGCCAGACCACCTGGGAGCTAGCTCCCTTCAACAAGCCCGAGGAATCCAAACTGGGTCCAGAGGAGGGAGCAAGGCATCTAGAATAGGGAGGTGGGGAAGGCACCAGTTAGCAGAGTGGCTGAGGGACAGATGCTGACCCCAGAAACTTAGATCAGCCACAACCCCACCTGGAGTACCTTGTGTGGAAGAACTCAGCTCTGGAGAATCTGATTCTGCCAGTTTTAAGACCCACTGGAGAAACAATTCACGTGCGCACCCTGTGTCTGCCTCGCTTGCTTCAAGGCCCGACTCAAGCTGGGCCTTCATGGCCTCAAACCCTTGGAAGCACAACCTGTTTATATCCAATAAGACTTCCTGGACACTTAAATGCATGGCAGGCTTCTCCCTGATTTGAATAGCACTGTGTGCCTCTTAACGTGTAGCTTTAAATATATTGTTTCATGGTTATATTTTATGTTTTCTCTCCAATTAGATTATCATTTCCTTAAGATTGAGGCCATCTCATCAGTAGCACTATTTGTCATCATCAGCCCTCCACCTGTCTACATTCTGTGCTAAGAAGGATCACAAGTGTGCAGAGCTAGATGAACACAAGCTACTGTTATAAACACATAACAATACAGGCAGTATTCAGATTTCTTCATGACATTTAACAGTAATAATGATAACAATAGATAACTTTGTTGAGTGATATATTGGGTTTTAATTTTCACTACAACCCTATGAGTGATGGTCATTCTCATCTCATTTTCTTACAGATAAAGAGAACTGAAGTGCAAGGAGGTCAAGTGACTTGTACATGGCCGTGCAGCTGCTAAAAAGTACAGGCAGGCTCTGGCCCCAGAGCCATACCCACAGAAGTGAGGGTACATATGTCCTCCCATGATGCCTTTCACAAGGCATATGATCCTATTGTAAGAACTCCATAAATATTCAGAGGGAATTCTACTCTTGGTTCATGTTCTTATGAGAGTCCTAGCTGCTCCAATATGTGTCCTGAGTTTTAATTATTAAAAGTAATTAGCACCAGGGGCTGAGTTATCCCACTCTGCAGTCAGAGAAACCACTGCCCTAGTGAACATAGCTGGGGACAGAAGCGGACGGCATCGATTCGCGGTCTGTCACTCACCAGGATGACTTTCTCTATCTCCTTGGGTGCGCACCAGTGAAACATCCCAGTAGAGTCGTACTTCTTCACGTTGGAGTCCATGTTGTCAATCTGATCATTGCCGGGAATTAACAAGGGGTCATGCCTGGGGAGGAAAGGACAGGAAAGCCGAAGTGGAAAATGTGATAAATTATAAATGAAAAGTGCCCCCCAAGTTACATGGCGGAGGAGATGAAGGATGCAGAGACGTGGTTGTCGCTGAAAGCCATTCCTGTGCTTGCAAAACCCATCCTTTCAAAGACAACTGCCCAAACCACCAGCACCTGGAAGTGCAGGAGACCTTTGTCAGGTAATAATTCTGCCATCCTCTCCTACTCCTCTTTGCTACAATGGCCTTCGCGTTATTTTGTGGATTTGGTCTCCCTTTTTATGAGGAGGTCACTCTTGGTCCTCCTCTCATTTGACCAGCTATCCAATTTCTCTAGCGTGTGCACACGTATACACAGACACGTGCATACACACACACACACAGTTCATTGTTAGCATTGGCAATGAAGAGGAAGGAATAGGAACAGGGTCTCATGCTGACTGACTGGCAAGAGGATGGAAAGCCAATTACTCGCTCTTTCTGACTACAACTTCTGACGTGATTCTCTTCGCAGTAAAAGCTTTAACAGGCTGCACTTTAAATATTTTAGCAATTTGCCCAATCAGATTTTGCTCTCCCCGGCTGAAGCCCTTTAAAGATTCAGCAGCATGTCACTTCAGAGCAGACTGACTACCAAACGCCCACATCTGGAATACATAATTTGAATACTCAGCAACACCCTCTCTCCTTGCCTTGACAACTGCATTTGCACTAACTGTCCAATGGTGCTCACCCCACCCCACCTTCACCTCCCAACTGCGGCATCCCTGCAGGAGAGACTCAAGCTCAGATGCATCTTAATACATGTGTCTTGAATTCTCAGGGCTGCATTCGCCCTCTCTTGCCTTGTCACTAGTGGAAAAGGAGGAGGCTAATACAGAGTCCTCCCCTCCAATGGATTGGCAGAGCCACACCGACACCCTTTAGCATTGCAATAGAATCAGGCAGGTCTAACAAGTTGGCAGCATAAGAAACACACTCCCGCGTGTTGGGCCATATCTGTGTCCAGATTCCGTCTCCCATAGTGGTTCTGTGCCTCAGGTTTGGGCTGGGTCATTTGGGTTGCAACAATGACTATGTATAGTGGGAACAATGTCCCAGGCATCCCTGCAGTGGAGCTGTTTTTCCTGAACAATACTGTCCAGTCAAGATCGAAAATATAAATAGGTTTAAATTCCAGATATTTACTGTAAAGTGATTTTACTTTTTAAGTAATCTACTTCAAACATCAAAGGGTGACCTTTATTTAGTTGACATTATTTTCCCCTCTGAAATTTTCCTGACACTTCTCACTTACATGTTCACAATGCAGTCACTGGGGCAGCCATCCCTCCTCCATGGTCCACAGACCTAGAGTTATGCTTTCAGGATGTCCGCCATGACCATCTCAGCCTCCCACCCAACTTAGGGTGGGAAAGCTCTGTCTTTATTTATTCCTGAGAATTAGTTTCCAGGCTGTGCCAAATGACACAACCCATGTGAAGCAACCCTGCACAGTATCTCCAACTAACATACTAAATTATGATAGGAACTGTCATGCCAGGTCCTAAAGGAGAAGAACATCTCCCTTGGAATAGCATCTCAGTGGCTGGGTATTTGAGAGGTCTTGAGGTGTTGTAAACCACCAGGCCGCCTTTCAGATACTGAACTCAGTCAAAAATGATTAAATAAAAAGGCAGTTTCTGATAAAAACTGGTGTCAGATTAGGGCAAGAGCAAAGTTAGAATTTTTTGTCCTTGAAGAATGTGTAATTGTTCTATATTTATCCACTCTCTTGGACAAGTAGATGGGCAGAGACCACCATAGAGGAAAGGCTTGAGAAAATGAGCAGAATGAACTCTTGCAAGAGGATCTTAATAAAGTTGACCTGAACATAAAGAGTCCCGTTTACTGGTTGGAGAAGGAAGATTATCTCAGGAAAGTCTAAGACCTGCCCCTAATGCATTCAGGAATTAAAAGATACCCAGCAAGCAAGCCAATGCGATAGCAAGCTGACCAAAATTCCTTTTAGACAATATGTGTTTTTGGAGAGAGGACATGCATCTTGGTTCTTTCTCTTTCTGGGAAGAAATCATTCCTTGGTACCACTGGCCTCCAACCCCCATCTTAGTAAAGTAAATAAACAAGCCTTATGATCAATTACTCCTCAATGAGAGGGAAAAAGAGAGCTTTTAATGACAAGGCTCACTAACTGGATGAGGGTTTGGGGACAGCAGGTATAATGTGACACCAGGGCTGCAAGCTGGGTGGCACTGGGACACCCAGAAGCGCCTGGGAGGTCTCAGCGGAGTGCCATGCTACACGCTGTCTCCCCACACGTCTTTCGGCTGACCTAGCTCATTTAAGGATAAGCATCCAGAATTGTCCTCAAAGGGTCAGATCTGCGAACCACCAAAAACCTCCCAGAACAAATGCATTTCATTTTCTCACCAGCTATGGCACCTGGAATCTGAACTTTGGTTTCTTGACTCAGCAAAGCAACCAATAAACATAAATCCCCTGTTCTGAGCCAGGAATCTAAAACACTGTAATGGGCAGGACACAGTCCCTCGTCAAAGACAGGGTCGTACATAACAGACAGAGAAAATGCCAATCAATAGTGTGACACACTGGTAAGTGTCATAGCAAAGCGATGTACAAGGTGGTATGTTCTCATTTGTCGAAGAGCAAAGCTGTTAATTGCCTGGCATTTGAATAACATTAAGGAAGGCTTGATGGGAAAGGTAACATTTGATCTAAGCCCTGAAAGGTGGGAGGAATCTCAGCGTATTTTAATTGTTGATCCATTAGTAGACATTAAGACCATTTCAGAGAATTGAGGCCCAATTTTTTTTAAAAAAATGGCACCTAAAACCATGGTGGCAGATGTCAGCTATGGTATCACCTAACCTGGGGTATAGAGGACTCGGGCCAGGTACACTAGCTGTCCCCAGATGTGAATAACGGTCCAGTGGGAGATGGATCAATTGATTGAGTATGACTGACTGAGAGCAGACGAGGAACATTGATTGCATGGTATGAAGTTAGAACAAACACCAAGTTTCCAAAAAGGAGAACTGTTATAAAAATTGAATCTTTTTCAAAAGCGAAATGAGATGCTTCCCAAGGCAGTGGGTTTCTCATCACTTGAGACATTCCAGAGGAGCTGGGATATAGAGTGTTTTATGACAGATGTCGGGTAAGCCCAGAAGAACTTAAAGGTGTGAAGCAGTGTGCTCTCGCTAGGGAAAGAGGTGACTAGGAGGATTTTGAAATATTGAACCACTATCGGGCATTGAGCAACAAAGAAAAGTTGCTGGAGTAAAGATGAGCACTAAGAACGTGGAAGACTGACAACTGTCACGGTGCCATTAAGGCTAGAGCTGGTCCTCACTCACAGAATTCCACAGTTGGGAGGAAGCTTGGAGCATGGTTCATTCCAGCAACATGAGATGCTGAACTACTTTGGTCCAGACAGAATAAATTTCTTTACCATGTCTTTCCCGTAGCGATTTCAAGTGTTTTTACGTTGGCTTATGCTGGGAAGAGAGCTCTAACATTGGTGAAGACTGAAGAATCAGTTGTCCAGGGAACTTCTATATCTAAATTGAGGTTTTGGAAGTGTATCAATAGAAGCAAGTCCACGCATTTGCCACTGAGCACAGCCAACATTGCCAAGGTCAGGGCCAGGAGAGGAACAGGGAGTTTGTTGCACATGGAAAAGAGGACCAACAGAAGCATCCCTGAACCGAGCATCCAGCACCATGGGTTAACAGAATGACGAAGAGAATGACTTCCACAGGCTCTCAGACAACCCCGCAATGAACACTTAGCTGGATGGAACCCAGAACCAGGAAGAGACACTGCCTTCCACATCCTAATTATTTCACGTATTTTCTCAACTCACAAGGTAATCCCAACTCCCCTGTAATGCATCCGAATGAACTCATGTCTCATCGGTTACTTACTACTTGGCCAATGTGTGTGCCTTATTTTAGGGTAATAGACACTCCATGCTGCTGTATAGGGCAGAATTGTTAAGGGCTGCATTGCTTCCCCCACAAAGTCTGTATGCTGAATTCCTAACCCCAGCACCTCAGAATGTGAAAGCATTTTGAGGTGTGGTCTTTAAAGAGGTAATTCAATTAAAAGTAGGTCATTAGGGTTGGTCTGAATCCAATATAACTGGTGTCCTCATAAGAAGAGGAAATTCTGACACAGACACCTACAAAGGGAAGACAATTTGAAGACCTGGGGATAAGAGAGCTGCCTACGAGCCATGGAGAACAACCTGGTAGAGATCCTTTGTCCATGGCCTGAAGGAACCAACACAGCCAACATCTCCACCGAGGACTTCCACATTCCAGAACCGTGAAAAAATATTTTCTGTTGTGGTCCCCAGTCTGTGATACTTCACTATGGCAGCCCTAGGAAACTCATGCAGTAGCTCAGCTGGAAGAAGAATAGGCCCAATGTGTCCAGCATCACCCCACTGACAGCTCTGGCTGCCCTTCTTGCACCTTACTCTCACCTGTTCAGTTAAGGGAGAAGAACATCCTATCATCAGTTTATGAATGGAAATATACCAAATATACACAATACCTTATTCAAAGAGCTTGGGCCGGTGTTTTTGTCCTCACCACCATCCCCACCATACAAACACACTTAAGATCTACTCTACCCGACTGGGAACTTCTCTCTGGTCTTTAGCTTACACCCAAATTTAATTTGGGGAGCAATACCGACGAGAGCCCAACTCAACAAGAAGAGGAAGCCCAGACTCCTGCCAGTTTATTTGTTCAGTAGAACCAAGAGTCTCTCTCCAAAAGGAGTGGTTTGGGGATAGATACCCTGGAGGACAGGAAAACACTTATTTCCTCAGTGACAATATAGCATAATGGCTCCAGCACCAAAATGTCTGTCTTCCAGTCTTGGCTCATCTCCTACTCGCTACAGTGTGCCCTGCCTCAGTTTCTTCACCTGTAAAATGGGAGCATCAATCACTGTCATTACTTACT